GCTGGTCACCCTCAGTGTCCAAAAGAAGCAAAAGAAAATCCTCTCTGAAGACAAATAGACAACATCCTTTCAGGCTGAAGTTACTTCTATGAACAATTTTCAAATATAAAGTCTGGAACATAATCAAAGACAACCAGGTCGGGTGTGGTGGCTCATGCCTGTAATCCCACTGCTTTGGGAGGCCAAGGCAGGAGGATCGCTTGAGCCCAGTGAGCTACCATCGTACCATTGCACACCAGCCTGGGCAACAGGTTAATAAAACAAATTAAATATCATCTTGAAGGCATCAGAATGCAAACAATGTAATGAAGAGTCACCAGGGCAAGGTCCAGGGGATAAAGGAAACCCAGAGGGGCCGCCCAGCCTCTAGGGCTGCCTCGGATCAGAGTTCATTCAGATCAGAGAGATCAGAGGATGCAGGTCAGAGACAGCTACATCCAGATCACGTGACGGAGACGCTGATCAGGGCTTTGAGGACTTGGGTACCTACCAAGAATCAGGCTCTGGCAAGCCTTCTGTATTTGAGGTTAGAACCCCAAAGGGCTGCATCCAAGACTTAAGGATGAACCACTCTGGGTGCGGTGGCTCACACCTGTAATCCTAGCACTTTGGGGGGCCGAGGAGGGCAGATCACTTGTGGTCAGGAGTTCGAGACCAGCCTGACCAACATGGTGACACCCCACATCCACTAAAAATACAAAAGTTAGCCAGGTGTGGTGGCACGTGCCTATAACCGCAGCTACTCAGGAAGCTGAGGCAGGAGAATCGCTTGAACCCGGGAGACGGAGCTTGCAGTGAGCAGAGATCACGCCACCGCACACCAGCCTGGGCGACAGAGCAAGACTCCGTCTCAAAAAAAAAAAAAAAAAGCATGAACCAGAAGAAGTAAACCAAGCCTTGCACACCTTCAGGTCGGCTGGATGCTGCAGAAAGCTCCATTTCCAAGATTGCCCTAGACGGCTGGTCACCCTCAGTGTCCAAAAGAAGCAAAAGAAAATCCTCTCTGAAGACAAATAGACAACATCCTTTCAGGCTGAAGTTACTTCTATGAACAATTTTCAAATATAAAGTCTGGAACATAATCAAAGACAACCAGGTCGGGTGTGGTGGCTCATGCCTGTAATCCCACTGCTTTGGGAGGCCAAGGCAGGAGGATCGCTTGAGCCCAGTGAGCTACCATCGTACCATTGCACACCAGCCTGGGCAACAGGGTGAGACCCTCTCGCTATTTAAAAAGTTTTTTTTTAATTTTTAAATTTTACTAATTTTTTTGAGACGGGTCTCGCTCTGTCGCCCAGGCTGGAGTACAGTGGCGCAGTCTCTGCTCACTGCAAGCTCTGCCTCCTGGGTTCACGCCATTCTCCTGCCTCAGCCTCCCGAGTAGCTGGGACTACAGGCGCCCGCCACCTCGCCCAGCTAATTTTTTGTATTTTTAGTAGAGACGGGGTTTCACCATGTTAGCCAGGATGGTCTCAATCTCCTGACCTTGTGATCCGCCCGCCTCGGCCTCCCAAAGTGCTGGGATTACAGGTGTGAGTCACTGTGCCTGGCCTAATTTTTTTTTATTTTAAAAAATTATTTTAAAAATAAATTAAAATCAAAGATAACCAGACACACAGCACAGGAACCTAGACAACGTGAATGAAAATGGGCAGAAACAACACAATTGACCATTGACTGCATATCAGACAGTCTATGAAATCAAAGGGTTTAAATGCTAAAGGGAGCAAGGATTACTGGGAGTGGGTGGCTAACTGCCTAACGGGCCAGGAATGGCGGGGCGGGGGGCGGGATTACTCAACTGACTGAAGAAAACCATAACCACATTTGCATGATGTGCATCACAAGCAAAGGTCCAAGCAAACAACCTGTTTAAAGTCCACAAGTGTCTGCCCGATGAACAGCAGGGACCCCATTAAAACAAACAAATGTCAGTTTCCAAGCTATGGTAGAAGCACAGTATCTCCAAGTGTTGGAAATGCCTGGAATGTGCTTGCAGAAATTAGGGGAGGCACTGGGGAGCTTTCAGTCATCTGTAGCAGTCTACTAATGTGTGGAATTAAAGTAAATAAACTTGAAGTCAGTTTACCTTGAATAGGTTGTTACTTGACTTTATCATGTGTTTCTGAAACACTATTGGCCTATTTAAATAAGAGCTCATAGCAGCAAATCTAGCTGTGTCTCACGAACAGCCCCTCCAGTACCACCTAGACAGCCCTATCCAAGGGTTGAGGGAGTCATATCATACCTGGGTGAAACGGGTCCTGAGGGAGAGCGGAATTCCCACTCCGAGCCACATCTGCTTTCAAATTGGCGTGTACCTGAGCCTGGAAAATGAAACTCAGTCAGTCCTTCAGGCTTCACAATGGTGTTAATAAGGTATTTTACTTGACCATCTAGTTTAGGAAAAACCAAGCCATTTTCCTTAATTGGCATGTACAGCTGAAGCTCCTCTTATTCACAGATCATCTTTCATAAAGATTGAAATGGGACCAGGCTCAGTGCTCACACCAGTTATCCCAGCACTTTGGGGGGCTGAGGAGGGAGGATTGCTTGAGCCCAGGAATTCAAGGCCAGCCTGCGCAACACAGCAAGACCCCATCTCAACTAAAAAATTAAAAACAAAAAACAAAACACAAAAAAAACCCAGCCAGGCATGGTGGCGTATGTCTGTATTCCCAACTACTCAGGAGGCTGAGACAGGAGGATCACTTGAGCCCAGGAGGTTAAGACTACAGCGAGTTGTGATCCTGCCACTATAGTCCAGCCTGGGTGACAGAGTGAGAGCCTGTCTTTTAAGAAAAAGAAAACAGAAAAGGTTGAAATGGGGTCCATGAGAGGGAAGGTGGCATGGGAACAGTACAGGGTGAGGGAGACAGGGACAAGAGCGGGATCAAGATCATTTGGAACTCTCCCTTCTTTTTACTTTATGTCTTTTCTCTTTTTTAAAAATTTTTATTTGTAGAGACAGAGTCTCGCTCCATCACCCAGGCTGGGGTGCAGTGGTGCAATCACAGCTCACTGCAGCCTCAAACTCTTGGGCTCAAGCAATCCTCCTGCCTCAGCCTCCTGAATAGCTGGGACTACAGGCATAAGCCACCATACCTCGACTCATTTCATTTTTCTACCACCTATTTCTAGACCTCACACTGACCCTAGAAAGTTGAAGGGAAGGATGCACACAAGCACCTTAACAAAACATTTGGTAATCATAAAAACAACATCAGGATGACTTTGATGCATCCCACCTTTCTCTCCAGTTCTAATTCTTGTCCTGAAATTGGATTTTCCTGCACAAGGGTGGCAGCCTGGCATGGGAGACAAGGAAGAAAGGAGCCCCCTGTTTTTCTGGGAATGGATAAAGGCGGGGTCATCTGGCCCTTCACATCTGAACTGTCTAGTTAAAACAACAAGAAAAATAGTATTTGTGAGATAAGAATAAAGAAAATGAGAGAAGAACTTTCCAAAAGAAAAAAGGGAGAGCCACATCAGATCCTGTTTTTCTAGGAGAGGAACCTTTACCGGGACAGAATGAACATAGTTACCTGCTGACACGCTTTTTTCCAATTTAGCTGAATAATAAAGCCTAGAAAACACACAGCTTGAAAGACTGTACAGATGATGATCCCTGACCACAGACCTAGAAATAGAAATATTTAATAGAAGTTAATTCCATAGAAAACCAGCTGCCCCTGGGGAGTATGTTTTGTCTATCTCACTTCTATCAGCCATACTTAATATCTGCTTTCATGGCTGAGGTGGAGCCCACAGTGGGCCACAGACCTCTACCCTGCTCCTCCTCGGGCTTCCAGAAGATTCCAGAAGGTGCTGGAAAGCCCAGTACTCCCTGAGGCCACCCCCAAAAGGGCCATCTCTTTTGGTTCAGGATTTCGGAACAAATATTCAGAGGATATTTTTGGCCTTACTGATTATGATGCTTGAATATTAAGAAAAATGCCAGTTACAAGGAAATTAAAATTTCCCAGGACCAACTACTTCTGCCCTAGTTTCCTCAAAAAAGGGGACTAACATAAAAAAAAGAAAAAAAGCAGAAATCACTAGCCATATAAATTACTAATACTCTCTTCCTCAGAGTTCCTGCCAGACCTTGGACCTTAACTTGCTTCTGACACAGACTTTGCTGGAAGCTTCCAGAGCAGGGCTGGGCACCCAGAGATGACTGGAGAACACCAAAGGCAGGCCAGGTGGGAACGGATGGTGGGAAAAGCCCTGTGGATCTCAAGGCACCACACAGGGCACAGAGGGAGACCCCAGGTGAGGAACGTTTTTTGGTCAATAGTAAACTAATGGAAGAACAAAAAGCTTCAACAATAACCAAAAGACAAGGGCCTGACTGTAATAAAAACAGACCTATGCCTCACAACGTGCAGTATCCTGCCCAAGAACCCACCCGCTATCTACAATAAACCCAGGAAGCCAGCCTTCCCTAAATCAGGCTCGCAGGAAGCAAGATTGCTGCCTCTGGTGACAATCCAGGAAGCTAACCAGTAACTTCTGTAACGATTGGCCCCAGATGGCCAGGACTTGATTAGCAACTGACAGCTTCCCTAATTTTGGTCTGCACTTCCAACTTAGAACCAACCAGAGAAAGTAAAATACATCCCCCCTAACCAATCACATGAGGCCCATTTCTAGTCAGCTACCTTCAGCATCCCCCAGATCAACAACCTCCACTCAGGGCACACCTGCAGCCTCCCCTTTTATCCACGGTGATGCTTTCCCACTCCTTTGCCTGCCTTTGAGTCTCTGCCCAAATGCAAGTGGTGGCGGCCAACACCCTTGCTGAGAATACACAGCCTTTGCTGGTCTTGCTTGGTTGGTCCTGGTTGATTTCCACAGCTGTCCAGATCTATGTAAGGGTTAAGGGGGCTAGTCTGGGTTCCTGGTTTATGGATTTGGTACAGGGTTTATAGCTCTGTTTTCTTAGTACCAATCACATTTTCAGGTATGACCAGCCTGCCCTTTTGTTTGTTTGTTTGTTTGCTTTTTAGAGGCAGGGTCTTGCTCTGCTGCCCAGGCTGGAGAGCAGTGGCATGACCACAGCTCACTGCAGCCTCCAACTCCTGGAATCAAGTGATCCTCCCACCTTGGCCTCCCAAAGCACTAGGATTATAGGCATGAGTCACTGTGCCCAGCCTAGCCTGCTCTTAGAATAGTATAGTTGGTGCCACCTGCTAGTCCTATAAAAAATTAGTAAAAGCAAGCTACTGGCTTCCACTTTCAAATCCAGTGTTCTCAGTACATAGAAACTACAAGCTCACCCGAACCATCTTAAACAGGAAATAACCAGCTACCTCCAGCTATAATCTGAAAGTTATGAATTAGATTTCCAATAATTTTAGCATACATCATTTGAAAGATTTCTATTTGACCCAACCTAGGAGCCCAACGTAGGATGGTTATTAGAATCTCATGGGCAAGGTCCAGGAATTTACATATTTACAACGTCTCCCAGGGATTCTGAGGGTCATTATGATTTCCTGGGGTTGCTTCTGAGAACCTGCAGAATTCTGATGCTCTCCTAGACACCTTGTGTAGGTATACTGCATACCATACCATAGGAGATACAATACTCAAAACCAATTCATACCACACTTTCTTCTAATAGGTGGGTGGAGGGATTGACTACAGTCGTCTCATAGAGCCCCCACATCTACCATTTCTTTTCAGTGATTCTCAACTTCCTCTTCTACTTTGCACAATTAGTTATGCTTTTTTTTTTTTTTTAGATAAAATCTCACTCTGTTGCCCAGGCTGGAGTGCAGTGGTGCCATCTTGGCTCACTGCAGCCTCCGCTTCCCAGGTTCAAGCAATTCTTGTGCCTCAGCCTCCCAAATAGCTGGGACTACAGGCGCACACCACCACACCTGGCTAGTTTTTGTACTTTTAGTAGAGGCGGGGTTTCGCCATGTTGCCCAAGTTGGTCTCGAACTCCTAACCTCAAGTGAACCGCCCACCTCAGCCTCCCAAAGTGCTGGAATTACAGGCATGAGCCACTGTGCCTGGCCTAGATATATTTTGTTAAATGAGTAGGTGAGCCAAGGACAGCACTTGGGATATAGATGGATTTATATTTCAAAGAAGGTTCCTCATGCCTGTAATCCCAGATACTTGGGAGGCAAAAGTGGGAGGATCACTTGAGTCAAGGAGTTTGAGACCAGCCTGGGCAACATAGCAAGACTCCATCTGTAAAAAATGAAACAAGGGAATAAAGTAGATTCCTCTTCTGAAAAAGTTGAACTCATAGAAGTAGAGAGTAGAATGATGGTTACCAGGCACTGGTGGCAAGGAGGGGAGGGTGTGGGAACGGGGAGTTGTTAAGGTACAAAGTTTCTGATACGCAGGAAGAATAAGTTTTGAGATCAATTGCACACCAGGGTGACTAGTCAATGTACTGTACATTTCAAATTAACTAGGTAAATTTCAAATGTCTCACCATAAAAAAAAGTGGTGATAAGTATGTTAATTAGCTTGATCTAATTGTTCCACATTCTATACATATATCAAAATACCACACTGTACCCCATAAATGCAAACAATTATAATTTGTCAACTTAAAACTTAAAAGATATAACATAAAAAAGAGAATTTAAAGTATTTCCTTAATATTTTATACTGATTGCATGTTGCAATAATATTTTAGATATATTGTGTTACATAAAATACATTACTTTAAAAATAAAAATAAATTAAGATTCCTATAATATTTGTATTAGCTAGGCAATGGCAAATCCAAAACATGAATCATACCAGAAACTCAGCTAAATAATTTTCTGCACTATCATGCAAGCCCAATGAACTTTGCATTGGCAATTCTATTCTTTGAACAACTCCTGTATTTTTAATTAAAATATTATTGAACTTGAGAAAAATGTGCCACATAAAGGAACATACTGAACTGGAAGTTCCCTGTAGCTATCAGTTGACTTCTCACCACCTCTGAGCCTGCCAAGTACAGATGGATCAAAACAAGCCTCGCTTTAAGTCGGTCACTACTCACCCCAAAGATAAATGTCCAGGTTTTCATATCATCATTTATTAACTGCCAATGTATTCCAAATTATTATCTTAGAAATCAAAGCTGGGCAGTCATTTATTTCTGTACTTTTTAAAACGATTAGCTCTGGTAATTTCAGATGCCGTGCATTACGTTTTTTCTTCCAAATGTGGGAAAGTGCTCAAGTCCACCCTCTTCCTTCTGTGCTGTTCACACCGACCACGTGCATGGCCTTGTGAGGAGACCCACAGGCACAGAGCTAAGGCTGTGCAAGGAGGGAGGTGGAGGCTGCGGAGTGCAATGAGGGTGATGAGAAGGGCACTGGCCACCCGTTGCCCTCCAAGGATCCAGCCACGCTGCTTGGTGAACACACGGGGCGCTGCTCTAGGGTGCACAGGGCCACCGTGAGTGCTGACCCTGCGGCACCCCACGCACGCAGGACAGACCGCCTACGATGGCCTCAGCCCTGCAGAGCCACCCACAGGGGATCACACGCTGTCTCCAAAGAACAGCATGGAACATGCAAAAGGGAAGCTTCCGAATGCTTCTTCAGCGTTTCCTACTGACGCCTCCTTTAGAGAAGTGAGGGCTGGATGATTCAGGATAGGAGGTGAGTAGAAAGGGCATCCGTGCTCAAGTGTATCAGCATGGAAGATCGCCCGCAGGGGTGCGAGGGGCAGGACAATGTAGCCTTGGGGCCCTGGCTAGAGTTGGAGGCCACCTCCTGAACGCCCTCTACGCTCTCTAACAAGACACAGAATGGACGTCGGTGAGTTGCCAAGTTTCAGAGGTGAGCCTCAGTCAAAGGCCTGTGTGCTCCGACAGTCATTTCCTGGACTGGTGAGCAGCTAAGCCCTGCCTGCACAGGTTAGAGCTTACCCATCACTCCAAGTTTGGTTGCAAACATCAGCGTGATCCCGATGGGGAGGCCAACCACGTAGTACCCAACGGTATTCACAATGGCTCCAACCTTCTGATTTCCACTCCCCCTCAGAACGCCACCGCTCGTGCACTGCAGGCAGAGAGCATTCCATCAGTCGGCGCTCCTGAAACACTCCCATCTCGTGAGCACTTCATTTCTGTGGGACTCAGACGCTAAAACCCATAAGGTGACGGTATCCTTCTAAACAAAATGTGATAACAATATTCAATCTTCCTACCTACCCTGACCTGTCCTCTCAGCTGAAATTTATCACCATCAGAAGAAATCCATAGATCACAACAGGGCTTAGGGAACTACTACATAATACTTACAGCAAGAGCTTCGAAGAGGTGGGAAACAGCATAAATTGGAACCACCTGAGCCACCAGATTAATGATGTCTCTGTTAGGAAAAAGAAACCACATGGTGATTAGGAGACAAAGTGGAGAAAGAAGTATATAGCTTTCTGGCTGGGCGCAGTGGCTCATGCCTGTAATCTCAGCACTTTGGGAGACTGAGACGGGAGGATCACCTGAGGTCAGGAGTTTGAGACCAGCCTGGCCAACATGGCGAAACCCCATATCTACTAAAAATATAAAATTAGCCAGGCCTGGTGGCAGGTACCTGTAATCCCAGCTACTCGGGAGGCTGAGGCAGGAGAATCACTTGAACCCAGGAGGCGGAGGTTGCAGTGAGCTGAGATCGCACCAGACCCACTCCCATTTTAGCCTGGGATGACAGAGCGGAGACTGTCTCAAAAAAAAAAAAAAAAAAAAGGATATAGCTTTCTGCGATATTACAAACATGCCCATGCACTGAGGCCAGCAGCAGCTAGTCAGGGACAGTTTCTCCTGTTGCTGGGCATGAGGAAACTAACGCACGTTTTATCTCACGACTTTTAGAAAAAATATGCAGCACCCACATCCTTGTCTTCAGGAGATATGTTCCAAGACCCCCAGTGGATGCCTGAAATCGCAGAGAGGACTGAACCCTAAATACATTGTGTTTCCTTATACCACACACCCTTATGATAATGCTAATTTATAAATTGGCACAGTAAAGAGAGTAACAACAGTAGTAATAAAGTAGGCCACAACCACATGCCGGCATCACTACTTTTGTGCTTTGGGGCTGTTACTAGCACTGTGATACCAAAACAGTCTATCTGAAATAACTAGCAGGTGGAAAGCACGCACAGCGTGGAGATGCTGGACAAAGGGATGATTTCATGCCCCAGGTGGATGTGAGATTTCCTCCTAATACTCCTAACGGCATGCAATTGAAAACTTATGAATTGTTTATTTTCTGGATTTTCCACGTTAAGAGTGCATGTGTTGTTGCGCTTTGTTGTTGTTTTGGGTCGGGAGCGGGTTTTTGTC